TCACTACAAACAAATATTTGTTCTAGCTTTGAAAATCAATTACTTGAAACATTTATATGCAGGCAGATATATATGTGGCTAAAGAAATTACTTACTCTGCAATTTGTAGCTTAATGACCTATAACCAACAGAAAGCAAAAAGAAGAAAAATATTGAATGATGGTGAATTAGATTAACAAAAATAACAAGATGACAGAAGGACAAGACAAAAGCACAAAAATCCACCAAAAAATCAGATATCAAAATCTTTGTTTACCTATTTCAGAACACAAAATAAATATGTTGCACTTCTTTTTAAAGGAGGGACAATCTGCCGAAAGTTCAACATGTCTTGTTAAGAGACAAAAATTAAATTCTGAAGGTTCTAGCATGAATGTTTCATGAAGAACTTAAAAGATGTCAAATATTGATATAAGAGATCACTTCATTAGGAAACTTATACACCAAACACCTACGAATGTGCACTAACAATACCTTTATGAATACAAATATGAATATAATAGGCTATTGTCAAAACTGTGATTAAGAATATACATTCACATCATCTTATATTCATCAGATAATACCAAAAGTGATTGAACATACATTTATAAAGTCAATCACATCAATGTTATTCCCTGTCAAAAGTTTTTTTTTTTAAAAAAATACAGATTAGATTACCAAATTCAATAAGTTGGTTATATAGTTTTAAAAACAAATAAAAATCTAGAGTAAAGGAAAATCAAAAAAATCTAGAGTAAATGAGCTCACTTAGGGCACCTAATGAGCAAACAAGTTCAATCAATTCACAAGAAATTTAGAACACTTGTTTAATGCAATCTCAATACCTGAAATCCACAATAAATTATTGAATATGTCCCCTTGTTTTTTGGCAAGCCCTACTTATAGCCTCATACATAATAGATAGACATTCAATCGGACCAGAAAGAAAGAAAATGAATGAAGAAGTTTTATTTTTATCGAAGAAAATAAAAAAGATGAAACGTAGCTATTAAGTTTACCAGATTAAGAGGTAGATACATAGATTTACGGAATTTGATTATCCTTGAGCAATAACCCAGCACGCGTCTCCTGCATCTCCGTCTCTAGAGATTGCAATTTGAGTAATCTCCAATTATGGTTTAGGTCTTTAGGAATTTGTTTAGAGAGAATTTTTTTTAGCAAAGCCAGCTGATATTTTTGACTAAGCGCGCCTTTAATTGCTGACATTTTTGAATAAGCGCACCTTTAGTTACTGAAATATGATAGGGACCGGTTATTTATTTTTTAAATTTATTTATAGAATTAAAATGCGATGTAGGGACCATAAAATAATCTCATCCCTAAAAATCTACTACTAAGGACCATATTTTAAACTCGTCACTATATTTTGGTCCTTTATAAGCCTTTTTCTTGTAGTGGCACACTGGAACTTTAGGCAAGCTAATGGTCATTCAGTGACTCGTCAAAGGGACTTGGAGATCACCAGGCCTTCATTTCTTCCTTCTTTCTGCTCGCTTTGTTCCTTTTTGCCAATTAGTGTCCATGATTTGTTCCTCAATCCAAATACGTAGAAATCAAGGATTTTACATCAGTTATTGACACAAAATGAGCATTTGAGGACACTAAATCTATCCAAATAAAACTCTAAATTAGTCCAAATCATGGACTCCTCAGGATCATTGACAAATACAATTTTGACAAATACAATTTTGACAAATCCAATTTTGACCGACCACGTCTTCATCTTTTCTGAAAAGGGTTTTTGGTACAGACTTTAGCAATTATGGCCGAACCCCAAAAATGGATTTCCTACATATCTCAAGCCATATGAGAATTCAGGCTATTTGTAGTTTGATACGCTTGATTTGACGCACAATTTGGAAGAACTCGAAAGTCATCCTGATACCAAATTATGAAGGCATCAAAATGCTCTAGAATAGGATTTTGTGAGAGAATGTTGAAATACAGCTGAGTTTTCAACACTGATCCCGCCTACATACCCTTTAACCTAGGGAATCAGGCTGCTTATAGTTCGACTCTATCGGTTGAAAAGGAAATCTATTATGTGAGATAACCTTTGGTTCTGGAAAAGTGACAAAGTGAGTCGAGTATGAAAAGGAGGATTGTAACCTCTTAGCCATGAATGTGGCGTGCTTCACACCCATAATTAAGAACTTACACAGACATGATTTTCAAAGCTCTTGGTGCATTGTCACTCAGATTGGAAAGCTGCTTCCGGTAGAGACCAAAAAATTTCCGGATGCGAAACCGAAACCGACAAACCCAAAGAAAAACCCACATGCCTTTTAACAAGGGTATGGTTTGATTGTGGTGACTCTCTATTATTCTCGCGTCCTAAGAGTTTGGCACTCCTCTTTGGACTATGTCTCAGTTTGCTGCTAAGAAAAAGTTTCACGTTCTGCTGCATCCTTTTTTATGTCGTCCGTACCTGTGGTTTGTTTTGAGAATTTATCCTCTTAGATGCTCTCGCCAAAGACTGAGATAAAACTCATTAGCATAAAAATACAATTCAAATGGAGAGTTAATGTCTTTTACCATGTTGACACTTAATATCTCTCCTTGAACATCTGACGTCAACTCCATCGGGTTTGACGTAAAGCAAATAAAGTTCGTTTCTCATATTTCCAATATAATCTTCAATGTACACTTCTTTTGATGGCAAAGTAATACAATAGGCTGATGTAATATGTGGATAATTCTCTTGATGTCGTCTTTGCAAAGGAAAATGATGCAGTTGATGTTGATTTTCTTGTGATAGGTAAATCTTTCTCTTGCGATGCATAACTCCTTCTCTTGCTATGCATGAATCCTTCTCTTGCGATGTATGAATTCCTTTCCCGTGATGCATGAATCTTCTCTTGTAATGGATGAATCTTCTCTTGCGATGCATGAATCTGTTTTCTCGTGACGCATGAATTTTTTTCCCGTGATGCATGAATCTTCTCTTGAAATGCATGAATATTCTCTTGCAATGCGTGAATCTCTTTTCTCGCGATGCATGAATCTTTTTCCCGCGATGCATGGATCATCTCTTGCAATGCATGAATATTTTCCCGGGACGCATGAATCTTCACTCTTGCTATGCATGACTTTTTCCCCTTGCTATGCATGACTTCCTTCTCTTGATGCCTGACTCCTTTCTCTTGCTATCCAGGATTTCCTTCCCTTGATGCTTCCCTGGTACCGAGCGAAGATAATGCTTCACCGAGCAACATAGGTGACCTTTGGGGTGTCTTTGGGTGGCGGTATCATCTCAATTGACAATATAAAAATGACCCTCAGAGTAATGGTATCGTCTCATTCGACAATACGATATAAATGACTCTCCGGGTAGTAATATTATCATGTCTGATAATATGATGCGAATAATATCCTCCAAGTTTCTTTAGCTGATGGAAAATAGTAAAGTGTCTTTCCTCGGGGTTTTCATTCGTTCCATCTCCGAACATAATTGCATGTTCATTATGAACTTCTCCTTGTTGATAATTGAATGAAATAATGCTACTCATATTCCCAAATCTTTGATATAAGAAACATAAAATATTTCCTAAATCCATAGAAAAATTATTAATTTTGGGGAGTTCCTTGCCCTTTCAACTTCTCCATATTTATTGAATGGAGGAATATGCTGATCTTGTGGCGAGCTTATAGACCTGCATCCACAGGAAAATTGTTAGTTTAAAAACAAACTGATCTGTGTCAATCTCTCCGATTGTCCGCTCCTTGTTTTGCTATCTTCGATTGATTTTTCTGATCTCCCGCTTCTTGACAGATAAGACAAAGCATTTTTATACAAAAATAATTTAGACACGAAAGAAAAGTTTTAAGAAAAATAGATTTTCTAAAAAGAAATATTTGGAAAAGGTCACTGCCAAGTGTCATGTCACGCCAAGCTTAATGAACGTCTTTGAAGCTGATGATTTGAGATCTATCTGATTACTTGTTGGTAAATATACAAATTTTCCCTAGACTGGCGATAAACCCTGTTGAAATTTTGAGACCATCCTCAAAATTTCTGTCCCCGTTAACTGTCTTGGATTATCTTTAACCGTTGGTGAGCGAATCACGTAATTTTTGAGATCTCTTCAAAAATTCTGTCCTAGTTGCAAATCTCGAAGTAACTTCGGTCTTGACTTTGTTGGAGGGATCTTCTTCTTGGGAATTTTTTGGTCCCTCTCAAAAATTTTATCCCAGTTTATTTTGTAAAGAAAAATAGAAATCTTACGGGAGATATGACTGAGCCGTTGTGGCGCCTACGTATCCCACTGAGGCATGAATCAGGTCAAACGTAGTTCCCCCTCAATGATGATGAACAGAAAATAAGAACTTTACAAAGAAATCGACCGAGGCCGACTCAAGCCACCTATGTATCTCATTCTTGAAAATTCAGTCGAACGTAGTTCAAGTACAAAGAAAAATTTTAAAAGGGGATAAAGGGGTGACCGAGGCCAACATAGGCCTTCTTCATATCACATTTTTGAGAATTCAGGTCAGACGTAGTTCATTACAAGAGGGATAAAATTCGAAACAAAGCGATTACAAGTAAGTAAAATGATTACGAGGGAATGACAGAAGTGCAAACTGAAACTTCACACATAGTATCTCTTGACATCATCTAAGTTGATCGGTTTAGGCCATTCGGTGCCATCCATCTCCGACAGGAC